AGATGAGAGTTCTGATTGATATAGATTTTCATTTGTTGATTCTGGGCAAAATCTGGTTTTTTTTTTTTTTTTTCTTGTGTGTGTGTTTTTGATGTTTGTTTACGGTTTTGCTGGTTTTTGATGTTTTGCGTATCATGATGCTTAATTCTTGAGTTACAATTCGTTTCTGAGATGCATTGGGATCTTATTTTCAAAAATTCACAACCTTTCCTTCTGTTTCAAGATCTATACGGAAGATTTTCCCCCAATTTTAGTTTCATCTGTTGGTTTGCTTTTGCCTTCATTGATTGGACATGCCCTTTGTCATTTCTGAGTTATTTGAGCAGGTGTTTTCAGCCAGCTGATTTGTGGGGGGAGGTGCACCGTTGCAAATTGAGCATCTTCGTTTTGATTTTTTCTTCGTTAGACTGTTGATCCACATTGGCAATGGAGCGCCTTCCTCTTGAAGTCATTGGAAATATACTGTCCCGCCTTGGTGGTGCCCGAGATGTGGTAATAGCATCTGCAACGTGTCAAAAATGGCGAGAAGCTTATCGGAAGCACCTTCATACCTTATCATTCAATTCTAATGATTGGCCTGTTTATCATGATATTACAGCTACAAGACTAGAGATCCTGATAACTCAAACAATATTCCAGACCACGGGATTGCAAGGTTTATCCATTTTGATGGATGATGTTGATGAGTTCTCAGCTTCAACTGTCATTGCTTGGCTCATGTATACCAGAGAAACTTTGCGCCGTTTGTTCTATAATGTCAGGACTGCCCCAAACATTAACATTCTAGAAATATGTGGGAGGCAGAAGCTGGAAATTTTGGACCTAGCAAATAATTCCATAACTGGTGTTGAACCTAATCTTCAAAGATTCCCTTGTTTGAAGTCCCTTTCACTGAGTCATATTAGCATTTCAGCATTGGATTTGAGTCTTTTGCTATCTGCTTGTCCAAAGCTTGAAAATCTGGAGCTTATCAGTCCTGAGATAGCAATGTCAGATGCACAAGTGACAGTGGAACTCAGCAGCCCAACATTGAAAAATATTTGTATTGAAGTAATTAGTTTGGATAAGTTTGTACTGGAAGCGGACAGTATTGAGAGTTTGTACTTGAGGGATTGCGTCCTTGAACTTTTTGAACTCATTGGAAAGGGTACTCTAAAGCATTTCAAGATTGATGATGTTAGTGTTATACATCTTGATATTGGTGAGAATGTTGATGATCTTGAGGTTGTAGATGTGAGTAACTTTACAATTATTTGGCCTAAGTTTTATCAGATGATCTCACGTTCCTCCAAGTTGAGGAAGCTTCGTCTTTGGGATGTGGTTTTTGATGATGAGGAAGAGATTGTGGATTTGGAAACTATCGCTGTTTGTTTTCCACAGCTGAGCCATCTTTCTTTAAGTTATGAATTGAAAGATGGAGTCATACATTATGGTCTGCAAGGATCTTCACCACTGGAGAGTGTTACTGTGCTGGAGCTTGGGTGGACTATAATCAATGATCTCTTCTCACATTGGGTCAAGGAACTGCTAAAGAGATGCTCAAATCTTCGAAAGTTGGTTATTAATGGGGTTGTTTCAGAAGCCAAGACCCATGAAGAATGCCAGATATTGGCTAATTTCACCTCATCCATTGTGCAGCTTATGAGGGAATATATACATGTTGAGGTGCAGTTTGAGTTTGATTAAAATTCTTTTGAGTCACCTTGGTTAAATTCAAGTTTTGGTCAATCATGAAATGTATACGCAAATATGCAGGTCAGATATCATTTGATTAGATTCAAGTTTTGATTCAATTATCAATTGTATAAGTACATTTGTGGTTAAATTTTACAGAAATCAATGCCTGAAAATCCTTTTTGCTTCATTTAAATGATTGTTTGATCTTCTCCCTTGATTGAGGAAAAAAACAAAAAAAGAGGGAAAAGAAAACGCAACCAAAAGATTGGAGATTGAATATTTTGGCACACTTTTGCCTCTGGTTTCCTTTTCTCAGTAGGCTTTTTTTCTGCTGTGGCCACCTCTGTCACTTTCAAAATTACATTTTGATTTTTGATTAGGTATTGACTGAGCTCCCTAAATGAGAAAGGAGACAAGAACAATCATGACTTCTCATCTTCTTTTTTTTTTTCTTTATCCGTAGTTAGCTGCCATAGAGGAGTGCAATAATTAGCTTTTGCTAAGCATCATGAACTTGGCAGCTGAGACATGTAGATATAGAATGTTTGTATAATTGTATTCTGTGTGTTCTATGATCACTTCAGTATGCAAGCAAACATGCACTTCTGTGGCCAATGTTTTGTAGAGTATTGTTTTTCAAGAGGGGAAGGGACGGGTTTGCATGATCAAACAATTATTATTATTATTATTTTCACTTAATATTTGGGAAAAGTGAAATTTGGAGAGATCAAATGGAGCTGCTTGCATATGAATGAAAATATTTTTCCAGATGATTCTTTTTTTGGCCCTCAAAGCTTACCATCTGGAAATTGGTACCTCAACTTCTGAGTGTTGCGTTTCTTTGCTCATCATACCAAACCTTCATTACGAAGCTTCTTTCTTCTCTTTGTTGGTTTTCAATCGTGGGGGTTGGTATGTAGGACGTGTGTTTTCTTGGTTTGGTTTTGAAAAGACGTAAGAATGGAGAATGTGACTCTTTGGCTAGCTAGTGAAATTAAGGCGGTTCAATGACCCCATACCAGAGCCTCTCATACTGAGGTTGTGCAGGTCCACCACCGAGCACCCATCCTATTCGCGGGGTGTTCCATGTATTAGAAATTATGGCAACCAAGAATCAGTCAAGGACAATAATATAGATGAAAAGTTGTGAATAGGCAAGTACTATGCTGATTTGTGCACCTTGATACTAGATATTTTTTTCCCTAGCATTTGAGTTTCATGATTGATCACAAAGACACAATAGTTTATATCTTTTCTTTTTTTTGGAGTTTATATTACTTTCTTGATCATATATGCACATCAGTTTCAGACCTTAGTTTGATATTAAGCGGGGATTGGTGTCATTGATTAGCTAATTAAATTAGGCAGTTGGCAGAGTCATATCTAACATAAGTCAGGGATGTTTCATTCGGAGAATTACAAGAGACATTACAAGGAAGAAGAAGGTCAGTGAGTGGAGTATGAGACAATCATGCAAGACATCTAGGACGTTAAAGATGTTTTACTCTTTATTATAGATGATTACTGCCTTCAAATCAATCAGGGAGCAGTTGCTAGTTATGTGTATTTCAGCTGAATAAGGGAGCTCTTATAGTTTCACAGGGTTTTTTTGTTAACTTTCTTGATGAACTGGGATGTGCTCTAGTGTTGACATCTTTTACTTTATATTATTTTCAACTTTCTATTGATGTAGTATCGTCTATAATACCAGTTTTTATGCCATGAGCTTCTATGTTTTGTTGGGGGTGGTGGTGGAGTGGAGTGGTTAGGTTATTGTTGTTAGTGGAATTGTGGGAACTTTTACATGGTCTATGAGTTGGGGTTATTCTGGAATACTTTGTAATGACCAACCAAATCCCTTCTTGTGGAGGTAAAGCTTAACAATGGCTAGAATTTTGGAAATGATTGGACAAACAAATTCTTGAATCCTGGCTTCCTGTGATTTCTACTACTCTGTAAATTGACTGGACACTTGCTCTGGTCATCGAATAATTCCTTTCAGGTCAGCAATATTCTCTATATATGTTTTCATTAAACTTGTCTGACTACTCCCAGAGCTCTTAATTCAGGATTACTGACATTGTGTTTCATTATTCAATAATGACTTGCACACTGGTAAACAGAAAAGTTAATATTCTGCTTGGCTTTTGCAGTAGATCCATTTTCAGGTTCTTTTAACTTTAACTCAATCCCTTGAGATTTTTTTTTTCTTTTTCTTGAATTAAAATTGTGTGCTCCTAACATACTATTTAACCTTTAATTCAGGATTACTGACATTACAGTGCAATTATTCAATCATGAGTTGTACGCTGGTAAATGTTGAAATTCTGCTTAGCTTTTGTGAGAGACCCATTATCAGGTTCTTTAACTTCAAATTGATCCCTTCTGATTTTTCCTTGAATTGAGAATGCATACTCCTTGACATGTTTGATTTATTGCACAACATATATACCCACCTTGCTTTGCAAAATTATATACCCACCACGGATTATCTCTCTGTGTGTCTTTTCAGATTTTGAAATTATGACCATTGCTTCTGCATTACTCTCCCCAATTTTCTTTTGTTTGGTAATTAGGCTGTTCTGAGGCAGGACTGAAACAGTAGATTCTAGTTTTCTATAACAGATTACCATTTCCTGTGCATTTTTTTTTTTTTTCCCTCTAGACAAGTCAGACCAACACGCATTAGTCAGAGAAAGAAACTGAAATTTAATGCACAACCATGCGCTAAGCTAATGGTCAAAGGACTTTGTTTTTTTCTTAAAAAAAAAAA